TATCCAGCCTTCAAACTGGATACAAATATATGAAAAAGACACTACATTGCAATTAAATGGATATGACTGTGGTGTTTGTACTTATATGAATGCCTGGTTGGTATTAGGACGTAGCTTGAAAGTAAGACAACAAGAAATTGCAAAGTTTAGAAAACAAATGATCAACCAAATAAATACATTTAGGTTGTGACAAAAGTGGAAATTATTATGTGTAAACTATGTTGATGAGATGGCTATTTGAATATTTTGGCACTATTGCTAATTGCTAGAAATGAATTGTGAGGCCATCAACCAAAATGTACAAGAATTTGATAATCTGAATGAAATAACTGTAGTATGGGGTATTTAGATGCAATTTGGTCAATGAAATGCTAGAATTTAGTAGAATTAGAAATCAATAGAGAGCCCAATTGCTTAATGATAGAAAATGTACATGCATTTGTTGGGAATGGTGTGGATGAGATGGCTATAAGGGGTGTTGGGAGGCCATTGCTAAATATAAGAAATGTACATGAATTTTATGTAAATGGTGTAAATGAAATGGTTATATAGAGAGCCCATTGCAGATTGGTTCTTGATAAATGCTAGAAATGAATAGAGAGCCCAATTGCTAAATGCTAGAAATGATTATAGAAATGAATAAGGTGGAAATGATGGAAAGGAACATCAATTCGATGGAAATGATAAGTACATTTTTTTTATATCCTTGAATTCCCTGTTAAAGAAATGATGGAGGCTTACAGTGTACTGCAGAATTATGGTGGTATTAGTGTGAAACTTGCTGACCCTATTCCAGCCTCTGATAGTTTTTTTGCCAGTTGTTGGCTGGAATACGGTCAGAAACAATAGGCTGCAAAAAATGCGGATTTTCGTGATTTTATGATTTTATAATCCTTGTAGATCACTTAATTAACGGCGAAATACACAACTCGATGACTGTCCGTAAGTTTTGTACATAAATTGTATTTCTATTGCATGACCCTTTGATGCATTGAGCACGCATTCTTTGATGACTGCCGATATATTGAATTTCTTGGAAAATAACTTGGATCAAAACCCAGACGTGCCATGTATGGTCTAGGGGGATGATGACTGTATAACAGAACAACATAATTATCCATTTATCCTAATATATCGGGGTTTGATGGATTCGAGGTAAATAAATGTGTAAGGTGTCTTGGTTTCTCCGACAGACAGAGTCCGACACACTCTGACAAGACATTTGAGACTAGATATTCGCGAATCAAAAAGCACATTTTTATCACGCTTGCTGCAATAAAAAGTTACAATGCTTTATTACGTATGAAAAAACGAAACAATAAATAAATCATTTTTCAACATCTGTCATATGTCTTTTGACAGAAAATGTTAAGCAATCCCACTGTGGCGAGTTTCAACGGGAATAAAAGTAAGCCTACCATGTATTTCTTTTTTGTAATTTTACTTGTGAGATAAGATTTTTTCGGCGACTACATTTTCGAATTTACCATTGGAATGTGAAATTCATATTTCCACAGAATTGTGTTTAATAAACACTGGTCCTCATATCGATCAAGTGTCGTATGAGATAAATGATACTTCACAGACTGAAATAATAAACAGTTAGGCCTAAAAGTGAGATGGCCTATATGACCTAAATTTAAATCTCCGGCGAGAATATGCGAACGATAAAATTTGCCCGATGGTGACAGTGCTTCTGTGACTGCAGATGTGTCGCAAAACGAACTAATGGTCTTCATGTCATTTGACCATAAATTGTTTGAATAGTGTGCCGCAGGCGGAACATTTCGGGACTTAGATGTTCCCTGATGCCAAATTGTTCCTATTTTACTTCCATTACAGACACTCTACTCAACCAAGCTTATCCATTTGTGGAGGAAAACAGGATATCACGCCCCCCTCCCCCTCCTCCCTTTACTGAACGCTTTTTCCAATAACAAGTTAACGATAACTCTTCTCCGTGCTTTGAGAGGTCGGAATAGTCCGAAACATACTATAGCCTACCCTATGCCACAACAGTTAATTCTGACAATTTCAGACTACCTCATAGAGGCGGAAAATCTAGATGCTCCACTTTTATTACAATTTTACAATATGCCTACTTATAATTCAAGAAAATTTAAATTTAGGTCATATAGACCTTTATCACACAACAGTACTGATAGCGAGTTCATGTTGTAATATTGTCTGAGACTCACTTAAAACTAAAAAGTGATCAATTGTATGAAATACCAGATTTTAGCTTGTATAGAAATGATGCTTGTACATCTAGCAATAAGAACCATCATGGTATAGCTGTGTATGTCAAATCTAATATTGTGAATGCTTTTGATGTTAGTGTACAGCCCTTGAACATACAAGATGTTGAAATGAGCTTATTGAGTCTATCGTTTAGACTTGATAATTGTCTAAAGAATGTGAATATTTTGGGTGTTTACAAGCCACCTAAAACCCCTGTGGCAAATTTAATAACAGCTGTAGGAAATGTGACAAGAGGTTGGAAAATTGATGACTATTCATTGGTGCTTGGAGATTTCAACATCCAGTTAAATAGTAAAGAATATGTAAGGTTGAATTCTGAATTAAATGGTATGGAACAGTGCATTCGGGAGCCTACTACTAATGCTGGCACTACTATAGATTTTGTCTTTAGTAATGTACCCTGTGAATTGAACAAATGTGGTATCATTGAAAATTATTTCTCAGATAACAAATTGATATACACTGTTATTGCCTCGAAAAACAGTATGGCATTTGATACACTAAAATTAGATGAGCATATAGTAATTCCAAAAAGAATTGTTGAAGAAAAAAAAATTGAATTCAGTGAACAGAAATGTGCAAAGACGATTAGCAGATGTAAAGCTGGTAAAAATGATAGAGCTGTCAGTGAACAGAAATGTGCAAAGCAAATTAGTAAATGTAAAGCTGGCAAAAATGATAGAGCTGTAATACTTTCTGATTTGATCTGCTGTCGAGGGTTTGGTTATTCCTTAAAAGAAACTGATCTCAACACACTTGTTGGAAAAAACTGGCTAAATGATCAGATTATAAATTTTTATATGAAGATCTTAGAAAGGGATGAAGATTTGAGTGGAACAGAGATAACTATGCTAGATACATTCGCTTATCTACGAATTGAAAGCAACATGCAAGCTGCTGTTGATATGTTTACAGACCAAAATCTGTTAACGTATAGTAAGATATTGATACCAATACATACACCACACCATTGGAGTTTAGTGGTTGTATATGTTGATAGTAAAACCATAAAATACTATGATTCTGTGGTTCACAAAGAAATCGGTTATCAATGTATGAGAAAGATGAAAGATTTTCTGCTTATGTTGGAGAGTATCCAGCCTTCAAACTGGATACAAATATATGAAAAAGACACTACATTGCAATTAAATGGATATGACTGTGGTGTTTGTACTTATATGAATGCCTGGTTGGTATTAGGACGTAGCTTGAAAGTAAGACAACAAGAAATTGCAAAGTTTAGAAAACAAATGATCAACCAAATAAATACATTTAGGTTGTGACAAAAGTGGAAATTATTATGTGTAAACTATGTTGATGAGATGGCTATTTGAATATTTTGGCACTATTGCTAATTGCTAGAAATGAATTGTGAGGCCATCAACCAAAATGTACAAGAATTTGATAATCTGAATGAAATAACTGTAGTATGGGGTATTTAGATGCAATTTGGTCAATGAAATGCTAGAATTTAGTAGAATTAGAAATCAATAGAGAGCCCAATTGCTTAATGATAGAAAATGTACATGCATTTGTTGGGAATGGTGTGGATGAGATGGCTATAAGGGGTGTTGGGAGGCCATTGCTAAATATAAGAAATGTACATGAATTTTATGTAAATGGTGTAAATGAAATGGTTATATAGAGAGCCCATTGCAGATTGGTTCTTGATAAATGCTAGAAATGAATAGAGAGCCCAATTGCTAAATGCTAGAAATGATTATAGAAATGAATAAGGTGGAAATGATGGAAAGGAACATCAATTCGATGGAAATGATAAGTACATTTTTTTTATATCCTTGAATTCCCTGTTAAAGAAATGATGTAGGCTTACAGTGTACTGCAGAATTATGGTGGTATTAGTGTGAAACTTGCTGACCCTATTCCAGCCTCTGATAGTTATTTTGCCAGTTGTCGGCTGGAATACGGTCAGAAACAATAGGCTGCAAAAAATGGGGATTTTCGTGATTTTATGATTTTATAATCCTTGTAGATCACTTAATCAACGGCGAAATACACAACTCGATGACTGTACATAAGTTTTGTACATAAATTGTATTTCTATTGCATGACCCTTTGATGCATTGAGCACGCATTCTTTGATGACTGCCGATATATTGAATTTCTTGGAAAATAACTTGGATCAAAACCCATGTATGGTCTAGGGGGATGATGACTGTATAACAGAACAACATAATTATCCATCTATCCTAATATATCGGGGTTTGATGGATTCGAGGTAAATAAATGTGTAAGGTGTCTTGGTTTCTCCGACAGACAGAGTCCGACACACTCTGACAAGACATTTGAGACTAGATATTCGCGAATCAAAAAGCACATTTTTATCACGCTTGCTGCAATAAAAAGTTACAATGCTTTATTACGTATGAAAAAACGAAACAATAAATAAATCATTTTTCAACATCTGTCGTATGTCTTTTGACAGAAAATGTTAAGCAATCCCACTGTGGCGAGTTTCAACGGGAATAAAAGTAAGCCTACCATGTATTTCTTTTTTTGTAATTTTACTTGTGAGATAAGATTTTTTCGGCGACTACATTTTCGAATTTACCATTGGAATGTGGAATTCATATTTCCACAGAATTGTGTTTAATAAACACTGGTCCTCATATCAGTCAAGTGTCGTATGAGATAAATGATACTTCACAGACTGAAATAATAAACAGTTAGGCCTAAAAGTGGCCTATATGACCTAAATTTAAATCTCCGGCGAGAATATGCGAACGATAAAATTTGCCCGATGGTGACGGTGCTTCTGTGACTGCAGATCAAAGTGTCTTCATGTCATTTGACCATAAATTGTTTGAATAGTGTGCCGCAGGCGGAACATTTCGGGACTTAGATGTTCCCTGATGCCAAATTGTTCCTATTTTACTTCCATTACAGACACTCTACTCAACCAAGCTTATCCATTTGTGGAGGAAAACAGGATATCACGCCCCCTCCCCCTCCTCCCTTTACTGAACGCTTTTTCCAATAACAAGTTAACGATAACTCTTCTCCGTGCTTTGAGAGGTCGGAATAGTCCGAAACATACTATAGCCTACCCTATGCCACAACAGTTAATTCTGACAATTTCAGACTACCTTATAGAGGCGGAAAATCTAGATGCTCCACTTTTATTACAATTTTACAATATGCCTACTTATAATTCAAGAAAATTTGAATTTAGGTCATATAGACCTTTATCACACAACAGTACTGATAGCGAGTTCATAACGCGAGTTAATATTAGAGATATTACACAGTAGGGAGGTTAATATATATGCAAATTAGGTAAAATTTAATTCAAAACACGATTTTCCCATGAAAATGAAATAAGCGACTTTATGTATCATATGAAAGTTTTGTGACCCCTGTAAAATAAAAAGTTATTATTTATTACATAGATATTATTTCGTTCGCACAAGGACATTTTACGGCGCAAAGAGGCTGACCTCAAAATGAAAGCAATCCTTTCCGAGAAATGGGACATGGAAAGTAAACAAATTATGCAGTTATTGAGAATTGTGTGATAAATAGAATCTTAAACTCGTGGTTATGTCATATAAAATTTATGAAATGAGTTGCCGGATAAAACATTTCCCTCGCCAAGGCTTGGGAAATATTAAATCCAGCAACTCATTTCATAAATTTGTTATGACATAGCTGGTTTAAGATCCTCTATATAGGCTATCTCACCTTAGGCTTACCGTTTATTATTTCAGTCTGTGAAATATCATTTATCTCATACACTCATATGGATTCCACATTCCAATGGTAAATTCGAAAATGCAGTCGCCGAAAAAATCTTATCTCACAAGTAAAATCAAATAAAAAAAAATACATTGTGCGCTTACTTTTATTCCCGTTGAAACTCGCCACAGAGGGATAGCTTAACATTTTCTGTCAAAAATTTTCTGTTGAAAAATTATTTATTTATTTATATATTTATACGTAATAAAAAAACATTCTAACTTTTTATAGACGTCTGTATGATAAAAAAGTGCTTTTCGCAAATATTACGTCTCAAATGTCTTGTCGGAGTGTGTCAGACTCTGTCGCAGAAACCAAGACATCGAATACGTGCCATGTATGGTGTGAAGTTTCTAATGATCCACGTATTCTTAATATTCTACAACTTATGTGAACGTAGAAAGGCTAAAAATCCCAATGACCTCGAATTCCGCTTCGAAAAGCGCAATATGTTTCCACAAGTTACCAAATTACGTCATTCTTTATTGTTTACAGTTTCGTTTTCAAAAAAATATGAGCTAAACCTATTTGAAAGTGATTTGGGGAGTTAAATATAAATTAATTCAAAATGTTTTGCAAAAAGAAATTTAATCATATTCTTTCCTGTTGCTTCAAATGAAATACCCAAATAACCAAGTAGATGTTGCATAAACTATAGGCCTAGGCCCTAATTAGGGTTTTGCATTGTTTCGATTTGTTCGTTCTGACATTCCACAAACACAGATTATTGAGTCTTTCATCAATTTAACAAAATAGACTCACCCAAAGGCACCGCCAAAGCTATGTTAACTGCCAATCATAACACTCCAATTCTCCCGCCAAATTAATAACCACACCTATTACGCACAAGAAATTGAGAGTCATTAATTCCTTGATTTTGAACGCTGAAGGATGTAAACCGTTATTGACAATAGTGGGAACATTTTTGGAAAGATTTTTCAAAATATAGGAAAACTAGCGAAGTGAGGTAAGTTACTTTGACATTTTTCATTAGTTAGGATAAAAAAATTCCCGGTATCAAATTGACAACCCCCAAGAAAGATAGGCCTAGTACTTTAGCAGTTGAAACTTATGAAAACAACTCAAATTTTAACAAGACACATTCTCTGAAGAAAGTAATAGTACGATTAGGCTAGTGTCAGTGACCTTGTAATTGTATTTGTAATATCGCAAATTTGAAATAGGCTAGGTGGTCGTAAAATTAGAACAACCCATGAGTCTAGATCTAATTCTTTTTCGATTCAAAAATTAGGGCATCAAAACAAATTATTATTTTACAAGGTTAGTTTTAGCCCCTGTAGGCCTACTGGGTAGGAAGACTGCTTTACCGTGTAGTAATTGGTGTAAATGTAGGCCTAACTGTTGTTAATTTTCGATAAACCTAAGTAAAACTCGAAAAATAACATTTGATTATTTATATTTAAAAAAAATATACAAATCTAGATTTCCGACGGCATGTGCCACATGCATGCAGGGCAACTCGGACCAAAACAAACTAGGACCATTTTTTTTTTCTGAAATTCTGATGACCAACTTGGACTACTTATTAACTTTTTATTTGGAAACATTGAAAAAATACGAATAATATATAATTACGAATAATATACAATTACAAAGGTAGGACAAACTATAGTCTTTTTGCTTGTACGAATTCCGAAAAAAAAAATTAGGCCTATCATCAATAAATTCATTACGTGACAAAAACACATCTGGAAAAATCCCCCTAAATGGCCTCAGTCTGTAACTGAAAAATCACATTTCTAAATTACCCTTTTTTAACTGTTGTCATTTTCATCGGGTTATAATTTAATAAATTAGGCCTTAATCAGAATGGCTCCTATTTTCGGAAAGACAAAGATTTGTCGCAATAGATCTAAAGAATCATTATGACCTAATTTATACAACAATGTTCTAGACTATCTATCGACACCTTGCTCGGCCATTCTAAAAATAGATGTGAT